GATCACCTCTGATCCCTCTACCTCCACCTTTGTTAGTACTGGCATTATAGACATGCACGACCACACTCCATTTATGAGGTGCTGTGTATCACACAAACTTAGGGCTTTTGCATGCTAGGCAAACAATTTACCAACCGAGCTACAGCTACAGTCCTGAGGCTTGCTTTCTAGTGAAATACAGTTAACGTGAGAGAGAACAACTTGAGTTCCATCTCAATAAAAATATCACAGAAATAAAGGCAGAATGAGCTAAAAACAAGAGTCCGATGACCAAGAGGTGACTTGTCTTTTGTTAGGTGGACATGGTTGACTAGAGACTGTGCAGAGGGAGGGATGCACTTCAGCTTCCAGGAAGCAGCAACAGGTTGTGGAGAGCCTATTGAGGTGAGCCTCAAAAAATGACTCCCACACTTTCTGAACACACTGGAATAGCCATGCTGCACCTGACCTTTCGATTACTAGAGACTGTTGAAGATACTTGGCATTTGCTCTCGCTGGGATGAGAAACCTCTGTGGGATTTTTTTTTTTGTAAAAAAAATTAAAAGAATTTTGGAAGAGCTTAGTACAATAACGTAACAATCTAGGCTATTTACATTTATTTGATTCTTAGTGACTTATTGAGAAAGTGCTCTCTTTATAACCCAGGCTAATCTTAAACTCCTGATTTTTCTGCCTCATTGTCTTGACGACTGGGATTACAGGAGTGTGAGTTAGATTTAGCCCTAATTTATTTAATGACAAAGACAACAAAGTTGCTTGGTTTTAAAAAAATTAAGCTTAGGAGCATTGACAAAAAAAGAAAGAAAGAGAGAAAGGAAGGAAGGGAGGAAGGAAGGAAGAAAGAAAGAAAGAAAGAAAGAAAGAAAGAAAGAAAGAAAGAAAGGCTCATTGAGAGGGTTTTGGTACAGTCTGGAGAGATGATGGAAGTTTGAGGCAGACAGTATTGATGGAGAAGGTGAGAACAAGATGAAGTCCAGGTATGTTTCACAGGTGCATTTGGTAGAAGTTACTGATCAAAAGTAGAATAAAAGAAAAAGAAAAAAAAAGAAGAACCATAAAGGCTGTGAAACTACTGGAAAGGGGGTGTTGGTCTTGACCGAAAGAAGAAAGATAAATTTTGCAAGACCTTGTAGATACCAGAGTTAAGACTGGAAAATGCCGTTGAAACCTAAAAACCAGAGAGAGATCTGCAACAGATTTAGAGATGCTGGTCTCAGCATCCTGCCAAGACTTAAAGCTGGAGACTGGAGTGAGAAGACTGGGAAACATGGTGCAGGAGCAACACTAAGTCCCGTAGCACTGCAATATTGAGAGGTCGTACAAGAAAAGGGATCAATATGGGAAGGAAAAACAGAAGTCAAGAGAAAGATATGTTTCAGTGACGGGTGGACCAGCTTCTCTTGCAATTCAGATACTAGATCAAAGCTGAAAAAAAATCTTTTCATTTCAACTGTAAGAACATCACTTTATCCTTGGATGGGGTAGAGCTGGGTAAGAACTTCCTTGTTTTTGTTTTCTTTGGGGAGTAGAAAAAGGAAAGAATTACTTGTGGAAAATATGTTCAAATGTGCTGCGAATTTGTCATTCACCCGTTTTTTCATTTGTTCATTCATTCCACAAACATTTGACTGCTAGCTGTTTGGGAAGTGTGCCAGTGTAGGAGACGTAAGGGTGAACCAAAACAAAATAAAAGCATAGAGGTTAAATGTAATCTTTGGTGAGAAAGAAATATTAATTAATTTATTTACAAATTTATCATGATAATTGTGACAAGTCTTCTGAGCTAGTTAGTGAAGAGGGTTTTACCTCGTTAGAGGATAAATTAAAGCTACTACTTATAGAGTGGACAGGAGTTGGCCTGCCCAGGGGCATAGGAGACGTCTTCAAGAGAAAGAAATAATACACCATAGCGACCATAGAAAAAGTCACCGGTGAGTGCAGAGACCTAAGAAACACAGCGGTGTGTGTGTGTGTGTGTGTGTGTGTGTGTGTGTGTATGTGTGTGTGTGCGTGTGTGCATGTGCACATGTACAATGCCACACTTAGAGTGTAGCAATGCTTCCAAGTCAGACAAGGCACGAGGGCCGTCTATAGCCAATCTGAAGAGAATACACAGGCACAGTCAGTCAGAAAGAAGAAAACCAGAACAGATAATCTTGGCTTGTTTGGCCTGGGATTTAATCTCAGACACACTAACCAATGGCTGACGTGTATATAGTCCACTTCACTGGCACTAATTTTGAAAAGCAGGCTTAAAGAAGCATGTGCAACGGTAGAAATTAAATAGTTTATTTAACAGAAAGGCAAAAACACTTTCCTTGTGTTACAAAAAAATTAAAATTGGTGCATATTTCCAAAAATACACAAACCTTATGTAGTCTCATCTTAGCTTCATATAGTTAAGTAGTAGATGCCGGCAGAAGTCTTTGCTTGTGATTGAGAAGAGAAGGAAGACTTAGAAATGATGAGTGAATTAGCATTAGAACGGAGTCCTAGACCAAATGGAGAGTCTCCTTCCGAAGCAGCAGAAAAACAGGGAACAGTCACAAGAATGAGATGGGGCATGTGATATAAGGAACAAGAGATGGGGTAGTACATTTTGGAGAAGCGGGTGCCCATGGTAACAGACCCTGAAGGAATTAAGGACCATTTAGAGCATTTATTCCAAGTGCATCATACACCATATCATTTAATCCTTAGAAATTCACTCTGGGCAGTGAATAGGTGTGTGCCTTTGCTGTTGTCACAGGGCTGCCTCCTTACATCCACCTCTGAGCTCTATGCAGTGCCTTTCAGTCTTGTTTTCCTTTCCACCTTTGATTTGTGTCACACTTGCTCCACTGTCAGTGCTGGGTAAGGGACACACCTTGGATAGTGTCCTTCTGAAAGCCACATTCATCCATGAGTTTCTCTCAGAGACTCTGGCCGTTGTGGGAGGTGGACACGGGGGAACTACTGAGAATTAACTCGTTCAGTGACAGGTGACTGCACACACATCTGTGTAAGTCTCATCTGTGTAAATCCTCTGCCTCCGACTGTCTCTTGGTAAGTCTCTCAGGAGCACTTCGGCAGTTTAGTTTAGGTGGAGGAGGTGGCGTGGGGTTACCTTTCTTATCGAATGTGAGTGCCCCTGCCCGAGGCGTTCTCAAAGCAGGGCAAGATGGACAAGAAGCTGACCCGACTTTTGATTCTCTGCTAGGGTAACAGAGAACTGGCATCTGTCTGCTGAGTTAATGTTCACAGCCAAATGACACTGTCAAAAAAAAAAAAAAAAAGAGTCACGTCTTCTACTCTCACACCTTCATGGTAGGATGTTTCAAAACTGGCTCAAGGAGGAATTTGCATATGGTCAGCGAGGTTGACTTAGAATGTGTAAATTTTATCTAATACTTTGAGTTCATTTTCATGAAGAAACAAATAAAAACTGCCCTTTTATGAGCTTCAGTTATCCGGCATCTGTGAGATGAATTGTCAGATCGCTCTCTCACCCCTTTCTGGAATGAGAAAGAGCATGAGGCATCCCGCAGGCATTGGAGGTTGAAGGTATACAAGAGTGTGGCAATGTCCTATTGTCACAAGCCGTGATGCCAAAACCAGTTGGCTTCTGTGCGTTCTGGAAAGCTTGGAGCTGGACAATGTGATGCCATCACCAATAAGCTGATAGGTATTTATGAAATCATCATTGGGCAAACGTGAAGTAAGAAAACAAAAACATGACACTCAGACTTATGATCCAGGCTTATTTTACTAGCAATCGCTGATAATTTTATAGTTATGGAGACAACAGGACACTCACTTAGGTAGCATTCATTAATAAAAATCAACAGGTCAGGTGTTTACCATCAGACATCAGTGCTGAATTTAACATACGACTGCTATTATCACCAAACCGGGTTTGCTCATAACAGGAAAACATTTCCATTGTTAAAATGGCACTGAGTGATGTGCACATGTCTTTAAACTTGTTGTCTGTGGCCATCTTTAAGCCAGGTAACAGGGAAGGAACACATTTGTCTTCCTGGTGAAATTCCCCTGGCGTCTTAGAAAAGAGGTGCAGAAGGGTGAGTCAGAAGCCCATTCTGAGGAGCGTACAGGGTTCTCAAGCTTAATCTTCCCGGCTAAATGCTGCTGTAATTCCTAGGCTTAAGTGCCTGTCAAGTCAGAGCACAAATTCTCCTGTTCTTCTTCACTTTTCACCATGCACTCTAATCCTGATGACAACACAGAGAAAAACAATTGGTACCAGGATGCCCGGGACTCTCCTGTGGGAGCTGGTTCAGGAGGAAATCACAAGAAAACATGTTCCCATATGACAAAGTTCTTGGAGAAAATCAGTAGCCCACATTTAGCTCATGGCTGGGCCTCAGTTGATGTGTTTTCTGTAGTAACTTCGGTTTTGTTATTTCCCCTTCCCTCCTTCCTTCCCTTCCCTCATCCTTCCTTCCTTCCTTCCTTCCTTCCTTCCTTCCTTCCTTCCTTCCTTCCTTCTTTACTTCTCTCTTCCCTTCCTTCCTCCCTTCCTCCCTCCTTCCCTCCCTCCCTCCTTCCCTCACTCTCTCTCCCTCAGTCCTTCCTCCTCACCTTCTCTTCTTTCCTTTTCTCCCCAAATTATAGAACCTGTGTCACTGTCAAACAGTGTAATTTCTGAACCTTGAGACCCTCTAGGATGGAACTCCTGTTGAAACTGTATTTACCCGTCTGTCTGTCGGACTTTGATTTACACAATAGAATCTCCCTTGAGTCCACCTCTTATCAGGCTGGCCTCAGGCAGCTGTGAGTAACTTCAGCCTGTTGAGGCAGGGTGGTTGTGGGTCTGGGAGTTACCCCCAGGATAGGGACCTCCACCGGCTGTGGGCAGTGCACTGGGCGGGGCCACGGCCTGAGCTCTCCTGTGAGTCTTAGTATAGTCAGGGCTTCTGCTGGGCAGGGCCAGCTGCTAACCCTACCAGACGGTCACCGGGGGGGGGGGGGGGGGGGCGGTGGTGACAAGGGACATATAGGTGGCGTCTGCTGGTGAGAAACACCTAGTACAGGTGAAAGGGTGGCGGTGAGAGGGAGTTCCAACCGGCTGAGTTCTTAAAGCCATGAAGACACAAGAAAAATAACAAGGAGTGGCCGACAGGAGTCTTTTGGATTTGCCTGGAGCTCCACCTTCGGCCAGAGGAAAAGCCCCTCGGGACCGAGGCGGGAGCATCAGACAAGCGCGAGAAAAGCGCCTGTGCGCGCTCCACCTCTACGCAGCGGGTGCGGGGCGGCGACCTGTCCTTTGGGCTGGCCATGGCGTCTGCAGGACCTGTGCGCTCCGGGAGCCCAGCCCTTGGCCTTCCGCACCTACTGACCCTAGCGGTGAGCTCCGGGGACCGTTCGGGGAGAGGGACATCGGGGCCAGGGCGGCTGGCGCAGATGGGGGTCACCGGGCCTGGCGACCTCTTAAACTGAAGTTGTTGGAGGTGAGGGAGGGCAGCAGGAAGCCGAGCGGCCGGCGCCAAGGTCCCGCAGGGGAGGGAGTGTGGCTCTGAGCTGTAATAGGCACGCGCGGCGGCTGGAGACGGGGGCGGGTTACGAACGCCCAGCCAAAACCCTGGCCCCGGGGTTCCCTAGGCAGAGCGGGGTGCGCCGAGGTTGTGCTGGAGCTGGAGTACGGTCCTGGAGCCCTGGGTGCCGGCCATCCTGACTAAGGGCAGCTGCCCAGGAGCCGACAACCGAAAGCCAGTGTGGTGTCCTTGGGTCAAAAAAAGAGGACTTGTTGCTCTTGAGGGCTCAGAGCTAAGTGGGAGGTGGAAGAATAGAAAGAGAGAGAGAGAGAGAGAGAGAGAGAGAGAGAGAGAGAGAGAGAGAGAGAGAGACAGACAGAGAGAGACAGAGACAGAGAGACAGGCAGAGAGACAGAGGGACACAGAGAGAGAGAGACAGAGAGAGACACAGAGAGAGAGACAGAGAGAGAGAGAGAGAGACAGACAGAGAGAGAGAGACAGAGAGAGAGACAGACAGAGAGGAACCAGAGATGACCACTGATCCCCTAAAATCCTGGGAAGAGACCTTTCTGACCCTGAGATCTTGTCCTGGGAGGGGTTTGGATTCCTTATCTCAACTCTGCTCGGATTCATTCTCCTTTAAGAAATAAAACAGCCAGGACCTTGAGCCCTATTGAGGAACCAAAAAATGGCTTTATTTGGTCAGGACTGGATCTCTCTAGGAGCCAGAAGATTCCAGAATTCACTCCAGGGTATAGGCCTTTGGGGAGTCTGGGGAGCCCCAGATTGTAGTTTTATATGGGTCCCTTGGACAAGGAAAAAGTTGATTGTGCTAGGTGAACAACTTGATCCTGTTCTTTTACCCGTGCAGTGGTAGGCTCAACCTGTCCCTGAAGGAAGCCTGGCAGAACCCAAGAAACCAAGTGTGTGTGGGGGTTGGGGTGAGGGAGGACAGAAGGCGGGGGTTTCAAAAGGTTATGACATCTTCCATTTCTCCTGGACTCTCTTTTCACAAGAGATTCCTGCGTTTTTAGTTATTGAAAATGTGGTTGGTTACTGGTTAAAATGTCAGTTCCAAGGAATGAATGGACTTTAAACTTTTGATCACAATTCCCAGGGACTAATCACAAGCACAGGTAGGGACAGGTATGCCGCACTCAAGGTTTTATGGTTGAAGAAACAGCCTAGGGCAAACAATGGTCACAAAATATGCTGCTGGTGACAAAGACTGAACTTTAGTTGGTATCTAGTGAGGAAAGTTGCCACTTCCTTTTATACTGCAGGACCTTATTCTTTGAAAGGAGAAGCATCCTTAGTCTTTGTGACATAGCAGTGCCCAGTGCAAAGCCACACACCTGGGTGCATATGCCTCAGATCCTTTTAAAAGCAGTGAATGCTGGGAGGAACGAGGGGAAGTAGAATCCTCACTCCTTGACCTCTCTGAACTTCAGAATCCAGGAATGGGTGCCCGGGTGGGCGCGGGGAGGTTCTCGTTACAAGCAATTTGCTTTTGGCCAGGAAAGTGTAGCAGGAGTCCCCTCAGGTTGTTCTAGACTCCAGTGTGGTGCGCGTGAACAGCCTTATGGGCCTCAGAAGGGCATGGGAAGGTGTGAGGTCTACTGAAGAGGGATCACTCTTGGGGGGAGGGGTGCGGCTCCTCTACATCCTCTACATCTCCTATTTCCCATACACTCAGGTAATCCCTCAACATTCCACATGTCAGCTTCTCTCCCTTTCTTAGCACTGCCCCACCCCATAGTGTCTTAACCACTGAAGCTTTCTTCCTGAATGTCCCAATGGTGCTTTGTTCTCTACAGCCGTCTAGGATCTCCTGTGACTAGTTCAAGTGACGTGTTCTACTCCTCACATAGTCCTATCCTGACTGGTTCCTAATTCTGGATGTTATCACCTTAGAAAAAAACTCTCTAACCCTCAGAATCTGACTTCTTACCCAGTGTCTCCATGCCCCCTCCCTCCCTTTTTCCTGTGTATGATTTCAAGACGTAAGCATGAGCTCTTCCCCTTTGACAGGGTTTTGAGTGCACAGGAACAGAAAATTAGCCACAAGCACAGTGCTGTGCAGCACTCTCTGGACGTTTGTGTCTTCCGCGACAGGAACGGTGCGACAGGAACGGTGTAGCTGTTCAGCAGGGGACCCTCGTCTTTCTATGCCTCGTGCCCTGGCCACTGCCTTCTGTTCGTTACTTTTGTCTTTTTGGCCCCTGTTTTTCTCACTTGTAAACACTAATTGTCTGTGCGGCCTTGTTCTAAGTCCTGTTTCCTGGAGTGTGTGTGTGTGTGTGTGTGTGTGTGTGTGTGTGTGTTCTAGAGGTCATGCCATCTACTATATGCTTTAACACATCACATTATCCTAAATTAATACTGCTGTTTCAGACATCACCTCCAAACAAGCCTTCATATTTCGGCACGTATGCTCTGCTGCATACTGTTTATTATGTTCCCAAACAATGTTTTTCCTTTGGTGTCAGAGATTTCAATGTACAGATCTCCTGTGTGCTTTGCTCCTCGAGGAAAAGTCTAGATGCTTGTCTCCTCATTACTCCTCCTAATCCTCCATTATCACAATAAGTTCATCCTCAAAGATATTGCATGGGTCTATTTATTGGTATTACCTCTGTTGCTGGCTTTTGCTCTTGCTAATACTGTGCCGGTGGATACACCTGGATGTATTCCGGTCATATATGAGCAGGCATCCTTACGGGCAGGAGTAGCAGAATTGTAGAGGATGAATACAAAGCCAATGATGGTGATTTTGGAGATGTCCTCTCAGGATGGGTTGTATATGACTAGACAGAAAGCTATTTAATGGTTGATAGCGTGTTATATCAGTGGTTCTCAACCTCTGGGTCGTGACCCCTAAGCCAATTGGGAAATTTATATTTTGATTCACCAAATATTTACATTATGAGTCACCACAGTAGCAAAATTACAGATAAAAGTAGCAATGAAAGCAACTTTGTGGTTGGGGGGCGGTCACCACAACCTGAGAAGCTGTATTAAATGGTCACAGCATTCGGAAGGCTGAGAAGCACTGTCACATCTTTAAGGGTAGCATCAGTATAAGAATTATTGAGATTGACCTTGAGGGTACTGGAGATAGGATGAAGTTTTGCAAAAGGTAAAACTGAACTCACACTTTATGCAGATCACCCCAGGAAAGTCCAGTCGATGAACTATTGAAACATAGGGTGACACCATGTGCATTACAGGAGACACATGATGAATCCTACAAACTTTCAGTTAGGAAGCCTATGACCCAGATTTCACCTTTTTTCAAGTTGAAAAAAAGCAGTGGTATAAAAACAAACAGAATTTCCATAGTAAAAACACAAAAATAAAACCAAGCAAAACCAAACACAGATATTTTAAAATATTTTAAAGGCCAGTGTAATACATTAAAAAGTTCTTATAAGTTGTGAAGGAAAATTCTAGTATGAACAAGGAAAAGACAAATTCTAAAAATTAAGAAAAATCATTAAAACATGAAGTATAAAAATAAGGAAAAGTGAAATTCCATTTCACACCTAAAGGTGTTTGAACACATGCTGTGTAGGTGAGACTGTGATGAATGGAAAACTCACACACTATTGATGACCAACGTTGTGTATGTCCTGTGTGGACCGTGAATAGAGCAGATGCAGGCAGGCTTGGTGTTTGTCCTTTGTAAACCATGTAACTAATACTTTTGTATCCACATACTGATAGATGGTCCTGTTTTATTTAGTAGGACTTTGTATGCTTTTAACATCTACATATCCCTTTGTTGTTCTTCTTTTTCATATCTTTTCTTTGACCTTTTGAATCAGATTGTTTAGATCCAGGAAATAGTGTTGAGATTTTATGGGGACCATAAAGTCATAATTTAATTTTGGACTAATGTATGTATTTTGCTGATTTTTCTTACTGCAGACTCGATCTATGTTTCTTTCTGTGTAAATTGTTATGCATAAGTGTGTTTAGGTTTTTCTGAAATAGGCGAGTCTTTCATGGCTAAGTCATGGAAGGATGAGAAAAAGGCATTTGGCAGTCCCAATCAGGAAGCAGACCATGTGGTCTCGCCACTCAGCCTTGCAGGTGTCTTACTGAATTTACTCCCTGGCATTTCCACACATTTCACTCCCTTAAGAAACAACTTTTTTAAATATATCTACTATGTGACTGGTTTCATTTATGGACAGGAAGAGCAGTGATAACCATATTTTAGTAGCTGTTTCTCATGGTAATTTGTTGATTGGTTTGCTTGAGTGTTGTAGGTAAAGTCAAAGCAAATGCAAATAGAGATATTTCCTCCTCTCTGCAAGCCCTAGCTCTTTTGTCTAAGATCTCTTCAGTGTGTCGTGAAGCGCATATGCTGACCTTAGAAAACCTATTATGTTTCTGAGTTTCATGATGGTGTCATCTACTTTTCTGGTGGCTGAGAACAAATACCTGACCAGAAGCAGTTGGAAAGGGAAGAGTTTATTTTGGCTCTAGTTTGAGGTCACAGTCTCCCTTGCTGGGAAAGCCTTTGCAGAAGAGTGAGGCATCTGGTCCCAGGTAAGGGGCAGACAGGAAGTAGAGAGCATGGGTGTTGGCTCTCAGCTTGCTTCCTCCCTATTACTCAGTCCTGCACCCCTGCCCTTGGGAGGGTGTCACCACATTGGAAATGTCTTCATAGACACACTCAGAGCTGTGTTTGCACTAAGTCCACGGAGAAGAACCTTCACTGCTTCCAGAACTTTCTCTCTGGCCCTGTGCTCATAATATACAAGAGATTTTTTTATACAAGCCATGCATTTGAACATGGATCCCAAACCCATGCAAAGACTGGATTAACCGTGGCTCTGTCTCATACTGACGGTGTCATGGAGAGAAGCTCCCTGCATGTTATAGGTGTATCCTGCCTTTCATTTCCCTCCATTTCCATAGAGGCCAAAAAAGCAGAGCCAGTCTTGACAGGTCCGAAGTTATTTCTGGTTCTTCTTTCCTGCTGTCTGTGTTCCAGTTTTATGAACAAGCTATGACCTTGGATTCTTTGCTACTTTTGTTAGTTCTCTGATGCTGTAGGATGTTTCAAAATGATGTTACTCATCGTTGCTAGTTTTCTCATGACATTCTCCAAGTTTTCTTTCACGTCTTTATTTGAAATGTAAGTTCTCTGCCCTGATTTATTTCTCCACAATGTTCAGACTTACCATACTCCAGTAGAAAAGCTACTTAGACAATATATTTACTGGAGACAAATCTTTGCTTTTTATTGGTCAGTTTTTTTCAGTGCTCTGAGAAATACCAGAGAAAAAGATGTTAAAGGAGAGAAGAGGACTTAGAGTTTTGAAAGCTTTTGTCTGTGGTTAACTGATGCCTTTGCTTTCGGGCTCATGCAAGGCAGAAGCACCATGGATGAAAGTCATAGTGGAGGGAAGCTGTTCATCTCATGGCAAACAGTAAGCCAAAGGGAAAGGAGGATGGAGGCAGGACAGGCTCCACCATTCACAGACTTCCCTCCTTACATGAATTAGGAGACAGCACAAACTTCCCACCACCTCCTAACAATGCCATCAAATGAAATATTCACATATAGCCATTGATTAAGTCACAGTCACACTATCTAGTTGCCTCCCAGTGACTGGATGTAGCATCCAGAAAACAGGCCTTTGGGGTCCCAGCTTATTTTTAAAGCATAGCAGCCCTTATAATGTGTAAAAGAAAGTTCACATGGCCTTCGACTTTATTCAGAAAGTGCTCCACACTTATTCTTCGGAGTCACTTGAATTGTTTTCTCCGTGTACTGTACACATCAGTTGCCAAAGCAGTGGCTCTCAACCTCCCCAGTGCTGTGACTGTCTAATACAATCCTTCATGTTGTGGTGACTCCAACTGTAAAATTATTTTCTCTGCTACTTCATAACTGCAATTTTGCTACTGTGATGAATCGCAATGTAAATACCTGTGTTTTCTTTTATATATGTATATTATATTTATATTTGTATATTATATATGTATAATAGATATGTAATTTATTTAACTTTATTTTTTGTGAATTGGTTTGAAGATGTCAGATCCTTAGAACTAGAGTTACAGACAGTTGTGAGCTGCCATGTGGGTGCTGGGAATTGAACTCAGGTCCTCTGGAAGAGTAATCTATGCTCTTAACCACTGAGCTCTCCTTCTAGCCCCAATATCTGTGCTTTCTGATGGTCCTGGGCGACCACTGTGGATGGGTCTGAGAAGCACTTCGTGATGGATTTCTATCGCGGTTTCTGTCATCTGTCATTCTGAGCACTTACAGTTTCAACCTTGCCTTCTTCCATCATGACTGACTCATGGCCACTCCTCAGCTGACCTCATCTGGTTCCTAGGTGAGGCTGGCTTTCCCTGCTCTCCTCTACCAGCCCGTACTTTCCTGCCATGCCATTTCCATACCCTGTTGAGCTTACGAATATGTCTATCCTGCGGTTTTAATTTTCATTCATGCCATGTTTGCTACTAGGGGTCTACTATATAGTAGACATCCATTGAAATTTGTTGTATGAATGAGTGAATGTCAACAACATAGTTTCTAAAAGCCCTTGTCTTATTTGAGGCATTCAACACCTCTACCACTAAGACTTGAGTGCAAGTACCATGACTCTACCTGAGAATACTGCTACACCACTGCAGCCGCTGTCCTGGCTCCTGCTCCCATGTCTCTGCTGTCTTGTGCCATGTAACCAGTTGACTGACTGCCTGTGGACCCCAGATAAGGCCACTCTGCAGCTCCATGCATTGTTGCTTCCCTTAGCACTCTGAACGAAACCTGCATTTCTCATCATGACATTATAGATCCTAAGCAGTATGTTCCAGACTGTTCTTCCCCCAGTTCTCTCCTCCAGCTTTCTCTGTCATCTTTCTCGGCTTTATTTCGCCCATAACTGTTATCTGTTTTGGTGGGATGTGACATTTGTGCACTTGTCTGTTTGCTTGTTGGCGCATTGGAACGTGGTCTGTTGAGGGCAAGGTCTTTGCTTTGCTCACTGTTGGAGCCCGTGACTCAGCTTGGCACCTTCTTACCCCGAGTGTTGGTTGAATGGATAAGTGTTGGCTAAGTGAATGAGATATTCTTTGTCAGTCTTGTTGAGCCACGGTACTTAAAACATCTGACTGTTCCACTGCTCCCTTGGCTATGTAGCCTATGAAAATTCCCTTCTTTTACTTTCAATTAAAAAGTCTTTTTTTGGGGGGGGATTTCAATTTTATAGTTAAAATATGATCTTTTCCTTATTAGATCTCTCCTATATGGTTTAAATTGCTTTAAGATAGATTGGAAATGAAAATTTTCAGCCGATCCAGCTGATTTTAGTTCATACTTAGTGGCACAGGTGCTGGTGGCACAGGTGCTGGTGGCACAGGTGCTGGT